ACGCAAAGCGTACGCAGAAGCCCAATCTGCGCTGTCATATTTGACGAGTCTGTGGATCCCATCCTTCAAGAACTGAGAAATTCTTGGAAACGGCCACGGAAGAAGCAGCAGATGTCTTCTCTGACTTCTTGCGAGGGGAAGAAGTGAGGAAACATCTTTCTACGGTTCCCATCAAAGCTACCACGGAAGACAACGCTATAGCAGAGCTATCTTTGGCGATAGAAATCTATATGATGAAGAAGTGTCAACCATTCAAGGACAAGGTAAGAGCTGCCAATACACAGTTCCGGGCTAAACTCGAATCGATGGTCGCGAGGGTGAACCATGAGCACAACGAAAAGATCAGGCCTGTAACAGGACGGAGACACCAATTGAATGTAGAGGATGTTGTAGGCAATCGACAGACCAACGCCTGGTTTGAATGGCTCAACCAGACAGTACGCAGACTGAACGGACCATACCTCAGCATCATGTCGGCCTTTAAGGGTGATTGTGAGCACACAGAGCGATCGCGGCTGTCTGAAATGGCTATTGCCGCCATGGCAACAGAAGGAGAAGTATTCGCGATAGCTAGGAATAATCTCCTCAAGTCATTTCAGCTACTCGGCGCTTTTGAATCGGATTTGCAGGGGGTGAAAGATGTGGAAGAGCGCCTCGTTGAAGAGCGTTTCTCGGAGACTAGGAACCAGATAGATCTGGTCAGTAAGTACGAGCCGCAGGCATCCGACATCACCCTACAGCTGGGCCGACTGGCAATGGTGGACCTGTCAGAGATGAGGGAGTATGAGTTTGACTTGGACAACATCATCGGCTGGCAGGACCCGCAGAACAAGATCGGTGGAGGGTCGTATGGGGAGGTGTACCGGGTAGACGTCCAGCGGGACAGTGCACGTGTCCGGGCAGCGCTTAAGATTGGGGTCCTGCCGTACGCTCTGACCACGAAGGACAACGCATGGAACTTTCTCGCAGAAGAAGACAACCTAAGGTAGAATAGAATTTTGTAGCAATACCAGTCCTTATAACTGAATTCCAAGTAATGGTCCATAATCATTGTTACGATATGAGTTGACACCTACTTGTGTTCGCAAGACTAAACGGGTGCCAAACGACGTGAGACTTCAGGATATATATGATCGTTTTACCGATGTTTTTCTTTCTCATGGAGGTACTGTTCATGTTTCTTCACCCAGGAAGCTGAGGGGTGAACACATCGTGGAGTACTACGGCACAGCCTGCAGGAGGGAGGGGGGCGGTCTGAGACTGGGGCTGGTCATGGAACTGTGCGAAGGGACACTGGAGGACAGAGTCGTGGGACAAAGGTAAAATTTCAATTTATGGCATTTTGCTTTTTCTTATTCCAACAATTCAGAACACGTGGTGACGGCATCTACGCAGAGTAGTTCTAGACTACGAGCAGAGGTTGGTCAGCATTCACTGGGGAAGATCGTTACCTTTCCATATATGCCCCATTTTTTTCTGTCGCTACCCCCACCAACCTCTGCAAGGACAAATACAGGACAGTACCTTTCACTTGAGTTAAGTGAGGAATGTTGTGTTAAGTGCCTTTCCCAAAGGCACAAGAACGGTGGCATGTCAGGACTCGAACCTAGGACCTCTTGGTTCTGATTAGAGGCACTCTACGTCACACGACCCCACCATCCCGCCCTTGATGACGGTGACATTAGACTTGTAGCGTTTGTCCAATATTGCATTGTATCTTTAGGGACGAGAACGCTGTAAAAGGATGAGAGTTACTTACTACATGTAGCTATATATAGTGGACATGTACAAGTGGCTTTGGTGATGCCCAAAAGGATCAGAACAGTAGCAAGACTTATTCATTATGTAGAATCCAGTGATAACTTGCTTGCTAATGTCTTTTGTTCATAAACCTAAGAACAGGTCTGTCACGTATACGTGCGTTACTACTGATTAATTAGAAAAAGTTAGATTAGTAGAGCGTAGACCTTCATTTAGTATATAATGTGATACCAACCCTCTTGTCTGTCAACGTCTGTTTGCAGTTAGCCTTCTTTTCGGGCAATAACTTGCAATAAAGCTATCTATTGCTTTACTAAAGAACGATTTGTTGAAATCTGTTTCAATGTAGGGAACACAACCCAACCTGGTGGGAACACGACCGTATAAGGAAGCGAGAGGCTTTCCGGTACATCCAGGACAAGTCTGTCCAGCTGTGTGAGGGCCTGAGGACCATCCATGATGCAGGGTACATCCACAGGGACCTCAAGCTCATCAATGTGCTGGTCAGTTTTCTTAACAAACATATAATTTTGTTACGTTAGGCATTCAGGTAAACAATACTCATAGGACATTCAAACTCTACTAACTTCCGCAAAATTATCTCCGTAATTTTTTCAGCAGTAGAGTTTCAATTTCCTACCAGTATGTAATTCTGTTGTCACGCCACGTTTGTGTGATTGTTTAAGTTCACAATGCGGCTATACTACTTTCAAATAATGCTGCAGCCTCTACATAACCACAATGGAAGCTATCAACACTCACGGCCATGTAGGTGTGCTTAGCTAATTTCCACACTGCCAAGTTATCAGTAGTAACGTTACATGTACTTAGTCAATCTTCACAGGTTATCAACAGTCACGTTACATGTACTTAGTCAATCTTCACAGGTTATCAACAGTAACGTTACATGTACTTAGTCAATCTTCACAGTTTATCAACAGTAACGTTACATGTACTTAGTCAATCTTCACAGCTTATCAACAGTAACGTTACATGTACTTAGTCAATCTTCACAGTTTATCAACAGTAATGTTACATGTCTCCACCGGATTCCAGTAGTAAGGTTGTATGTACTGTACCCATCTCGTAGGTTACTGCAGGTGACGTTGTGAAGCTGGCTGACGTCGGCGTGACTAAGAGAGAAGTGGACGTGACCGGCACAGTGACCGGCACAGCCATCTACGCAGCACCAGAGGTGAAGAATCGGCAGCTTTACGACAAGAGTGCAGACATCTACAGCCTCGGACTCCTTCTGTGGGAGATGTGGTATGGACGAACCGTCTGGAACGCAATGGTATTACCATTACCTTGTCCTTGGAAACGCTGAGTTATCGATGCACTTAATGAAAACTTATTATCATATAGCCAGGCGACGTCGACCAATGAGAAGCCTCCATTTTCCATCGGTTATCAGGCCGTAATATCATTAGTGGTGAATAATGAAAAAAAGGGGTCGGTTATTAGACCACTTTTTGGACCGTACCATTATCTTAAAAGACTTAAACATATCTATTAAACAATGTACAGTAGTTTATTTTGAATAATGTTTTTGAAATACAACAAAATTAAAAATTACAATGCCATAAAACTTGCCGGGTTGATGAAAAAGAAAGCCGGTATGTAATGATGTGCACTTGTAGGAATTTAGTCCGTAACAGCACAGATTTGCTTTTAAACTTTTCCATCCTAATGCCTCCGATCGGCCAACTCAGCAACCTAATTGGACTATTTGGCTTAGTATAAATAGAAAGCTAAAATGAGTATTTTCTAAAATACCTTTACTTCAGGAGGATCCGAGTTTAAAGAGTCTGACAGAAGGAGAGTCCATGATGATGCCTCAGTCACCAGCATCAGTCCGACCCATACCGGAGTGGGCAACTCTGGTTCGAGAGTGTCAGCACAAGAACGCCAACAAGCGGCCTTCTGCACTGGAGTGTCTCCAGAGGATCCGAGACATGACGACAGAGGTCGGTCCACAACGCTCTATCTCTTTTCAAACCACTGTCTGAATGTTTGTGAGGAAAATAAATGTGTGGGGTCGTGTGGAGTAACGGTAGAGTGTCCGAATCGGAACCAAGAGGTCCCAAGTTCGAACCCTGCCACGCCACCGATCTTGTGCCCTTGGGAAATGCACTTTATACGACTTTCGCTCAGGTGAAAATGAGTACTGTATCGTCCTCTGTACATGTGTTGGTGGCGGTATAAAAACAAGTTGGAGTGTGCCGTCACCACGTCTTGTGATAACATGCTTGAAATAAAAAAAAAACGCCATAACTTAATGTATCTAGTAGTCTGGAGTCTAAATACTGATATTATAATGAATAGTATAAATAATAGATAATAATAAAGGTCATCTACGAACTCCTCTCTAAAACCATCTCTGACTGGAATATAATGTTTCTTTGGAACGTATATAGTGACATCGCAGTTAAAAGTGGCTTTACGTGTACAAAAGTCAATTCCTTTTAACTATAAATACATAGGCTGGTGCTTGGTTTACATGTACATAGAAGCGTCAATGGTTTTAGTTTATCATGGTTTTAGTTTATTATTTAAGGGTTAATGTCCCGCCCCGAGGTGAATATGGTGTGATAAAGCCTTGTCAGTTTCTATAACCACTGAATAAAGCCACCAAGTGAGCGCAGCGAACGAGGTGGCTTTATGAGGTGGTTATAGCAACTGACAAGGCTTTATCACACCATATTCACCGAGAAAGGGCGGGCCATTAACGCTATTATCATATAGCTTACACAATAGCCTATCCAAACTGATGCAGTGAAGAGTGACACAATGTACAATTTACCCCTTGCACATGCTGAATAGAACATAGAATATTTGTTCCATCTGGAGTCACCTGAGGTCACTGGGGGGTTCACGTTCTATGGCCTTCTATCTGGGTCACAGGCAGGGAACAGGTGTTCGTATGGGAGTCACCCGAGGTCATCGGAACACAACTCAAGTTATTTTTGGATTTTTTAGAAGTAGAGCCGTGTTCTATTGGGTCACCTGAGGTCATATGCGGGTGATTATTCATTTTGTTTAATGTATGGATTGGGATGAATAAATACCCGATTTTGACTCTATTTGTGACATTACGGCGACATAAAGAATGTGGAATGGAGCCTTCTGATTGGTCAACGTCACCCGGCTATATGATAAAAGACTTTTAAGATTCTGACAGGGTGTATGTTTCAACAACTCGGGTTGTTGCATTTTATACAGTAGTGGTAGGTAACATGATAGGTAGCTGGCAAGTGTGTTACTGCAAATGCACTTAGTTTTGCAGTAGGAGGGGAAAGGTTTTGCTGTGTTTTAAGTTTACATTTGAAACGATTCACGATGTCATGATGTCTCCAAATTTCACTAAAATAAAACCACTGCNGTGGTTATAGCAACTGACAAGGCTTTATCACACCATATTCACCGAGAAAGGGCGGGCCATTAACACTATTATCATATAGCTTACACAATAGCCTATCCAAACTGATGCAGTGAAGAGTGACACAATGTACAATTTACCCCTTGCACATGCTGAATAGAACATAGAATATTTGTTTCATCTGAAGTCACCTGAGGTCACTGGGGGGTTCACGTTCTATGGCCTTCTATCTGGGTCACAGGCAGGGAATAGGTGTTCTTATGGGAGTCACCCGAGGTCATTGGAACACAACTCAAGTTATTTTTGGATTTTTTAGAACTAGAGCCGTGTTCTATTGGGTCACCTGAGGTCATATGCGGGTGATTATTCATTTTGTTTAATGTATGGATTGGGATGAATAAATACCCGATTTTGACTCTATTTGTGACATTACGGCGACATAAAGAATGTGGAATGGAGCCTTCTGATTGGTCAACGTCACCCGGCTATATGATAAATTCCATTAATGGTTTTCGTTTATCATATTCTATTAATTTTGTAATTCTTCTAAGACTATTTGCTTCACTAATTTTGATCGAGGTACCTTTACATCTGTCTCGTATTAGGAAAATGCTAGGCATGTGTTAGTGAAATACTATATGATGATCGTGAGCTACAATAGATAATGCCGTTTATGTTTATTATGTTGTAAATCGTACATTGACTTATTGGCATAACAAATGTAACTTACATGTAAGAAAGGTGGCGCTGATGGCAGCTTATATACTTGAATTTCGTAAAAAAAAGTATAACTAAAACTCATTTGCACTGTTCTTTAAAGACAGAAAGATGAATGGAGACAGTGATAGTAAAGTCACATAAATGTGGAGCTCAAGGATCTAGGAACAGTGACGAATGCCATAGATGTGTAACCTATACATTGAGTGATTCGGATACGCTTTTTTCTATATGATTACCTGGTATATGATAAGCATATAACTGTACATTTTAGGGAGAGCATCCTTGGTACTGTTCGACAACTATATGCCTTTACAACGTCACGCCAGATCAAAATGTCATAGAATTTTCAAGGATTTAGTGCAGAGTATAGACACAAATTGAATAAAAGAACACGGTGTAACAGGAAACAAGTCTTCTATTCGTCATAAAAATATATCAACAAAACACCAGTAGTCGCCCTGTTCTGGTTCTTTCTTTTCATCACACCGTCTCTTGTTATATTTTGCGACACTGTCGTGACACTTTCATCATAATACAGTAAGCAGAATTTCTTGTAACAGTTTTTTTCCAGTAACAGTCCAAAATCAAATAACTTAGGGGGGGCTAACAGGGGTGACGGCGCGTCTTTAAAATCTGTGAACCCTATCAGGGTGCTCCGTAGCATAAAAAAGACTAAGAGATTCTTTTACCAAAGTGATTATTAGAAAAGATAAAGAATACGTCATGTTCATTTCTCTAGAACAATGTAGCTCCGACGAAGACATGGGACCTCCGACCTCTAGTTCATTATGGAACTAAGGTCGTAATTCTAGTTTAATTTGTAGTTTTCTAACATATTTTGTGTGTGAAATTCCTATCCTTTGGTGCTGTCCTCATTAATGATGCAATTGACATCTACATTAACAAGTTGCACATCGAAACCGGTAGATATAACCGCCGACTCCCCTAGAACAACGAATATGTCGATCTAGGAAGATCTAGGAAGAATCGAAGATGAGAAACATTTTGTAACAGAATATAAACTATACCACAAAGAGAGAGTAGATCTTTATAATCTGATACAATCTATGTTCCCCTTCTTCATACATGTAAGCTGTACAGATAAATTTATATTTCTAATGAGCTTAGACAAACCCCTGTACCCTCTATATTGAACATATCTGTTCTTACATTTTTACCATTACTAAGAAACGAGAAGAAACCGAATTTACTTGATTGTAGCTACTTGACGATGTATGTATGTAACGTTATCTATATTCCATCCTTTTTGTGACCTGTACTTAACCCAGTGGGTATGTGTGTACAATAAAGGTCTTCATTCATTTATTTGGCATGCATCTTTCAATACTTTCAGTCCCATGCAGACACTGCTTTTGGTAAAATATTCTGGAAACCCCTAAATAGCGCTGTAAGTATTAGGTGTCAAAACCCTCATATAAGCGACGGTCACAACTCGCCGTGCGTGCTTTTTGTCCGTACGTTTTTGTCGTGGCTACGTCTGCTACGTTTTTTCTGCAAACGTAGGGTGGCCGGCCGAGGGAGTACGTCACTCGCACGGTTGCGCAAGGTGTACGTACGTGGTCTGCACGACACGCCTGGCCGTCAGCGGTTGCGTGCATCGTACGTTGCGCAAGTGGTAAGTGAGTTGTACGTGCTTACAACGCACGATCTCTGTGCGATTGCTACGTTGCCGCGTACAGGCCGTACCTACACGTGCGGCGTACGCACGGTTTCCTTACTCACTCTCACGTTGTAAGTGCGTGCACCTCCTGTTAACTTCATCATCACTAGCCGCCCTGGTGTCTTCCGCGGCCCGTTTCTTTGGGTCTTGTCTGGTAGTCTTCTTCTGAGCCTTCCTGGGCATCTTGGAGACGAGTTGGCAGTCGCCCGTCAAGTTGTCTTTATATACTGTAGAGATCAGGTGCGTTGCACGTGCGTTGCACGTGCGGAGCACCTGGTATGGTGCACGTGTGTTCTGCGTGGTCATTGAGCAGGTCAACTGGGAAGTAAGGAGTAAGCACGGATGACGCAAGCACCGTGCGTGGCACGCACGTGCTTCGTGCGCTGTCCGTACAGCAATTGCACGTGAGAATAGTGAAGTTAGACTCACGGAGTCCGTACCTTGCACGCTCATAGGCTGTACGGGGCACGCGCGTCGCACGTACTCGCACGCACGGGTGGTAAATCCGCAGACCGCACGTAGAAAAAGTATTACATGCACTTAAGAGCCGATGTCTGTAAAAACCAAGCAAATCAGAAAAAAAGTGGCCAAACTCAAAAATCAAATTCTCTTAAATTTTGTGTGGTGGTAGGGCCTTGACCCAAACTTACAAAAATGGGTAAGTTTTGGTTCGCTGGTTGATGGTTGCCATGGCAACGGCCATTTTTCAAAATGGCGGATTTTTACCTTGTGGAGGCATAAGTCTTGCCCAAAATGGACCATCTTTTACCTTCCGTATCTCACAGAAAGTAACACATATCTCATTGCTTCTAACATGTTTATGATCCATATTGTNGTGGTAAATCCGCAGACCGCACGTAGAAAAAGTATTACATGCACTTAAGAGCCGATGTCTGTAAAAACCAAGCAAATCAGAGAAAAAAGTGGCCAAACTCAAAAAATCAAATTCTCTTAAATTTTGTGTGGTGGTAGGGCCTTGACCCAAACTTACAAAAATGGGTAAGTTTTGGTTCGCTGGTTGATGGTTGCCATGGCAACGGCCATTTTTCAAAATGGCGGATTTTTACCTTGTGGAGGCATAAGTCTTGCCCAAAATGGACCATCTTTTACCTTCCGTATCTCACAGAAAGTAACACATATCTCATTGCTTCTAACATGTTTTATGATCCATATTGTAACTAAGAAAATGATATGAAGTTTTGCTCGAAATGTTTTTGTGGTGAGCTGTAGCAGACGTTTAAAAATGGCGTGTTTTTGTAAAATTTCAAAATTGAGAAAAAGCCATTTTTAGGACGTTTTTAGTGAACCATGGCCGCTTAAAAGGCAGATAGAATTAGTTGATTTTTAGCACAGCTCTGGCTATAACCTTTGTCTACAACATATCAGAAAATATCTTTGGGGTCTCCATGGGGGGGGGGGAGTACAGTGACCCCTAGACTAAACCATTATTTCCATTGTGAAAGAATCCCAACCGCTGCATTATAAGTGAAAAAAGCATCCACAGCATGGCTATACAGTAAAGAAAACGAAATCTAAAGCTTTTTTAAGTGCTAAGGAAACCTACCTCGCACTTACAAAAGTTGTTTCCTTCTGGGCTGACAACGGGTTACCATGGCAACAGTTATATGGGGAGGGGGGCGGTGTTTTGAGGCCCACGGCCACTTTCTTGTTGTATAATGTCTGAAAAGTTTAAACTAGAACCACCAAACTTGGTGACTTTTCCTCAAATAAATTTGGCAATAATTTGATATTCATACTTTCATGTTGCCATGGCAACGGGTTGCTGACAGGCATATTTTGCCAAATTCAGCAATTTCAGTATAAGAATAAAATTTCCATTTTTTTGTTCTAAAATTTTTTCTCTTATCAAACATTCATGACATTACTGTAAGTTCATATAATTTTATGATTCCAAATTTATAATATATGTTAATTAGATGACGTCATTGGTCAAAGTCTAAGATGGTGGACTATAACTCGGATATAACAAGTTTTTCCTCTTAAAACACTAAAACACAAGATTTTTTTAATCATGGGGAAGGAAAGGTACCTTTGACAAAGGAAGTAGATTCTTGCTGGATTGACAAAGAGTTGCCAAAGGTAACTCTTCTATTTTAAATGGCACTTATCATTTCTATTTATATATATAATGTTGTTGTAGCATTCACATAGACTTTTCCTCAAATAAATTTGGCAATAATTTGATATTCATAGTCAGTATTTGGGGCGCAGAACCAAATCAGTTAATTGACTGCACGGAAATGACTTCTGACCTCCGACCTGAGGTCGCATTCGGTTTCCGTTCTAGTAGCGTGCTTAGTGCAGTCACTCTAGCAAATCCTCGAAAAAATCCTTCAAAAATTCTCGTTCAAATCCGACAATTTTTCGGAAGATATGGCTCCCAAACGTTCGAAGAAGTGTCCAGGATGCCACTTGGACGTCGCCCTGCACAAATCGGGCGTTGCTGGCAAGGATTGCACGGGGATTCTGGAAGACAACGGCGCTGTGGGTCAAGGCATGCAAGGCGCCATGGCCGAGCTACAACAGCGCAAGGCAGAGCTTACCCAGCGCCTAGAGTTGAAGAAGCTTCAGCGGGAAGTGGATGCGCTAGAGAAAGAATTGGCCACAGACACCACTACAACCTCGCCACTTCCTCCGGCCAAGGACGGGAGCAAGACGGACGAAACTCAAGACGACGAACGCAAGCATGTGGATTTCGGGCATGCAGACATTACGTTAGCCCAGCTCCGCGAAGATGCCGCGCTTCAGAGCCTCGTATCCACAAAGTATGGGGATCTTGTCGGCGCGGGCAAGAAGCCAGAGAAAGGTAAGGCAATCCTATCTCCCGAGTCTTTCGTCCATAGTTTTCATTCAGCGGAAACGAAGAAGTATGACGAGCTCGAGATGGAAGAATTCCTGGCTGGCTGTATGGGTTTATTGCGCAATCCCGGCCTACCCTCCTATGAACTGATGGGGCGCATAGCACTGTTGGAATATACGTGTAACAAACTGGCTAGGCACGGCGGTCGGTTGCTAGGCTAAAAGTCGCATTACTAGGGAGGTATCGGGTTACAGAACATGTTCGAACGTGGCCGCGCGGGAGTCCCAGGCCGGCCCGGGGGCAACGGGTAAAATTTGAAAATAAACAAAAGTAATTGGAGAGTAAATACTCGTCAAAATAAAATGTAATAAGTGATTTTGTTTACCTCAAATGTTATTCTTGCACTGCCTTTGCTCCACTTTGTGTACATTTGCTTCCAAATGAGATCAATTTCGGATTTCAAAAAGGGTTCACAAGAACCAAACAACTGATTTTAAGAGGCCCCGAAAATTGAAAATAAGGTTAAATTTTTGGATTTTTAGAAATATTACAGTAAATTTAAACTTTCTGTCTTAGGATTTTTTTTATTTTTTAACTGAAACTCGACTTAAAGTCAAAAGAAGAGCTAAAAACGCAGTGTTTTAACTTTAAATACCGATAATTCATAATCGCGGCCATATTTAAAAAAATCCCTAAGACAGAAATCTGCGGAAACCGCTGCTCTTCCAAACAAGCCCTCAATGAGGTAATTTGAGCGATTTTTTGGAATTGTTAAAATACCATGTTTGCACGCATGCTGTGCCACTTGGATATGGGGACCTGAATTTTATAACAGCGTCAACAAGAATTCTGACCTTCAAGGTCACCCACGATGACGGCAGTAGCTTCGTTACATGTTACATATCCACAATAAAATCACGGCATAGATGTAAAGTTTTGAAAACGGTTCATATTTGTGGAGAGGTGGATTTTTCCTGTTCCGTGGTTCCCAAGTAAAAAAGGGCTTGAAGTAGCCGGTTGTAGCGGCTTTACTGTAAATGACCGCGGGTAACCCCAGATCGAACGCCCGCTCTATTCGAATGACGTCATATCGAACAAGATTCGCGGGTTCGGGGGATTCAATCTCCATAGTAGCGGAGTGGGACTTTTGGGTCCAAATCTGACCATCGTGAGGTATGACTGGACCGTGGTTCGGTCTTTTCATGCGGCGGCGGTCAAGCAAGCGCTCCGGAAGCCAGGCTCATGGTCGGATGACTGGGTAGCCCTGAAGGAGATTTACTTTGATGCCGATCCGCTCAAGATCAAGCCTGCCGGGTCCGCCGCGAGTCGACAGCCCAAGAAATCCAATCCTCCACGCATCTGCTATCGGTTCTCTAGGAACGAGTGTGCCGCTGATACGTGTCGTTTTGACCACCTTTGTGATTACTGCTGGAAAAAGACCTCGCAGAGGTTCAAACACTCAGCCGCTGACTGCCACAGGAAGCAAGCCGAAGAGAAACGTGCTTCATCTACCGATAACGGGGCCAACGTCAAGTCGTCTTCCGCATGACTACTTCCGGACATGCAGCATTCTGTCAGCGACAATTTGCAACATTCCGTAAGTGACAGTTTGCAACATTCTGTAAGTGACACTTTGCAACATTCGGTACGTGACCATTTGTTATCTATTATCATATAGCCGGGTGACGTTGACCAATCAGAAGGCTCCATTCCACATTCCTTATGACGCCGTAATGTCACAAATAGAGTCAAAATCGGGTATTTATTCATCCCAATCCAAACATTAAACAAACCCAATAATCACCCGCATATGACCTCAGGTGACCCAATAGAACACGGCTCTAGTTCTAAAAAATCTAAAAATAACTTGAGTTGTGTTCCAATGACCTGGGGTGACCCAGATAGAAGACATAGAACGTGAACTCTACCCAGTGACCTCAGGTGACTCCAGATGGAACTATGTTCTATTCAGCATGTGCAACGGGTAAATTGTACATTGGGTCACTTACTGCATCAGTTTGGATAGGCTATCGTGTAAGCTATATGATAATAGCGTTAATGGCCCGCCCTTTCTCGGTGAATATGGTGTGATAAAGCCTTGTCAGTTGCTATAACCACCTCATAAAGCCACCTCGTTCGCTGCGCTCACTTGGTGGCTTTATTCGGTGGTTATAGCAACTGACAAGGCTTTATCACACCATATTCACCTCGGGTCGGGTCATTAACCCTTAAGTATTTCATTGCATCACGATCTCATTGAACAGTGCCCTTCTGGCTTCCTCTCGGATTGCGACATGAACGTTGTTTATCTTAGTGATAGTGTTACGCAAGAGTGCTTATCGCACACGGACTCTTCAGACGTGTCGGAGCCGTGTAGTTTACTTACTGCAGCACGTGCTGTCCCCTCACAAGAGGATTTATTGTTGTCAAATCTCCGCACGAGCGGGTCGGCTCTGGATGAGCCAGTGTCTCCAGTTATTTCCTCACATGAGGATGTGTTGTTGTCAAATGTCCGCACAGGCGGATCGGACTTGGCTCGGCCAGCGTCCCGAGTAATTTCCTCAGGTGAGGATGTAATGTTGTCAGATCTCCGCACGAGCGGAATGGACTTCGATTATTCTGCTGTCAAGTTATTGAATGAACTCAGCGTATGTACGTTCGTCACGGATTCCCCAGCGGATCGGCCAACACCCAGCGTAGCAGACTTCGCGAGTTGGCATGCTCGGGTTCGACAGTCAGGCGTACCCAATTTTAAGTCCGAGCGCATTCCAGTACCCACCAAGCTACACGTTTCCGCATGGCGAGGTCTCCTAGATGGTTTTCATGACACTGTCTTATGTGACTTCCTGGAGTTCGGCTTTCCAGTTAATTACGAGTCATCCGCACAACCGCGAGTGCCGCGCACCAACCACCCCTCGGCTTTGCAGTACTCCAGTCATGTGGACAGGTTCATCAGCACTGAGTTGTCGCATGGAGCAACAATAGGGCCGTTGTCGCCGGCCACGTTCAGTCCCGGTTTGGTGTGCAATCCGTTGCAGACGGTGCCGAAGAAAGCCTCTCCGGATCATCGCATCGTAGTGGACTTTAGTTACCCGCCCGGGTCTTCAGTTAACGACGGGATCCCCACCGGGACCTATCTCGGTCAGCCACATCGGCTTCGCTAACCCCTCCATGGATGATTTCGTTGCGTTAGTTGTCAACGCCGGCACAGGCTGCCTCATGTTTAAACGTGACCTTCGCCGCGCATACAGACAGTTGTTCGTGGACCCTGCAGATTATCACCTGTTGGGATTCTCCTGGCGTGGTAACGCTTACGCGGACGTGGTCTGTCCCTTCGGCTTACGTTATAGCGCACAGGCGTGTCAGCGCACGACCGACGCCGTCGCGTTCATATATAATAGATGCGGATTTCGTTGTGTCAACTACTTGGACGATCTCGGCGGCGCAGACTCTCCGCACAGGGCCGAGTTAGCGTTCGATACTTTAGGTCGGCTATTACGGTACCTCGGACTAATCGAGGCGGACGACAAAGCCACGCCGCCGTCCACTCGTATTGTCTTTCTCGGTCGCACAGTGGACTCTATTCGCATGACTATCGAAGTGACACCGGAGAGACTTTCCGACACGTTGGCCGAGTTAGACCGTTGGCGTGTCAAGACCAGTGTTCGCCGAAATGAGGTCGAGTCTCTGTTGGGAAAGCTACACTTCTTGGGGTCATGCGTGCGACCTGGAAGATTGTTCGTTTCGCGGATGATATTGTTCCTGCGACGCTATTCGGATCGTCACCAGCGGCTGAGTATAGACTGTGAGTTTCGCAAAGACCTTCTATGGTGGTCTACGTTCTTACCTTGTTACAACGGTGTCTCCTTACTTCCGGTGACCGGCTGGACGGAACCCGACGCTGTTTTCAGTTCAGACGCCTGTCTGACAGGCTGCGGCGGCTTTCTCCACAGCACTGGGGAATACTTCCACGCCACTTTTCCGCCTTCCGTGCTCGCGTCAAACCCTTGCATCAACAGTTTGGAGCTACTGTCCATCTTGGTTTGCGCACGGCTGTGGGGCAAACACTGGGCCGGCAGCAGGATAGTAGTCATGTGTGACAATGAAGCATCGGTTACTGTGTTGAACTCTGGCCGGAGCCGCTCCCCGTTCCTCCAAACCTGCTTACGGAATCTGTGGCTCTGCGCGGCCGTAGGGCAGTTCGAGCTTCGCGCCATTCACATCCCTGGCCTCGAGAATCGCCTTGCTGATCACCTCAGTCGCTGGACGTCTTCCAACTACCACCAGAACGAGTTTCTGCGTTTATCAGCACACATGCACGTCTGTGAGGTAGAAGTATCGTTGCAGCACTTCGATTTACTGACTCAGTTGTAATTTTACAGGTCATCACACGCAGCTTCAGCGCTTGGACCATGAAGTCGAGGCGGCCAAGAGGTCTGCATTTGCCGCGGGTACCTACGCTAACTTACGGACTCAGTGGAAAGCGTTCCTGTTGTTTTGTGAGTATTTCCGGCTTCCAGCCATTCCCACAGACGCGAGGACTCTGACCAGATACGCTCAGTTCCTCTCACGCTCATTGAAGAGCCCCAGCACGGTCCAGATCTACATCCACGGTGCCAGACTGCTCCAACGATTCCACGGGTGCGAGCCTCCGCCATCTGACGCGTTCGAGCTACGTCTTGTCCTTTCCTCGTTCCGCCGACAATCCCCGCACATTCCGCAGCGTAAACTTCCGATTACTCCGGCTATCCTACTACGGCTGCGGGATCACCTGGATCTAAATAGACCGCTTCATGCCACCTTGTGGGCGGCATACACCGTTGCCTTCTTCACACTACTTCGGAAGTCGAATCTCGTGCCTAAGACGACGTCTGCGTTTGACCCAGGCAAACACCTGACTCGGGGTGCTATCCGTGTCGCTTCGGACGGACTTGTGGTGCGTATAACATGGTCCAAGACTCTACAGTTCAAGCAGAGGGTCCTG